CAATAAAACTGTAACTGGTTGTCCATTAACCACGGATTTACAATGCCTCATAAGCAAATATATAAACCCTGAACACAACCCTCTCAAAAATAGAGTGGCACTAAAGAATCTGACACTGTCCAACATATGCAGACCATTCCTACTCGATGTCCAAGAAACAACCTAGCTACAATAAATATAAAGAAAAAAAAAGTTCCAAGAGAGAAAAAGTTAATTTCTTGATCAAGTTTTAAGTACAAAAGACTCCAACTATGAACATTTTTCAACTTTCATATGAAAATCCAACACTACTTCCTTATAAATACGGTTTTAAAAAGACGGGATAACAGTAAGAGTGGTAAGACGTCAAACGTTCCTGTTCAAAAACAAGAGGTATTCTAAGTAATTAATTGTTGAGGATTCCACAGAATCTAACCACACGCAGAATCAGTTCAGCAGCCATTATAGCAAATAAATATTTAATGACATTTGCTATGAAACAAGCACAAGCAAAAACAGGGAAACAACCGCAGCAAACCAACCAAACGTCGTCACACAATGAGGCTATATTGGGTTTTGCTGCGCCCGGCGACTGCGAGCCCACCACTCTCTAACCCACTACTCTCTGCCTCCCTCCTGTGTTGCCGACAATGTCCCGATTTGGATGCATTTATTCACCGCTTGAAGCAGCAGTTTCCCTCCAGTGAACAACGCCCTATAGATATGGTAAGCGATGCGACCATAACTGCTGACGCTGGTCTTCCCTCCAATCGGCATATGAAGGGAGTGCTAAGGGGCACAAGCTTTGAGGCCGCTGAAAGAAATCAACGTTGATACACGTGTTCGGTGCGCTTAAAAGATTTGGGTTAGGGTGGAAGAGGCGGGTATGGGAAAAGGGTAATAGACAAACTGAAGTCTTCCGGTTATATTTTTGAAGATCATATATTTGGAAGTACACTTCAGCGTACAAACTTTGGTACCCTTATATTAAGCGTAAGGTATATCTGGGTATTGTAGCTGCAGCTGTGTACAGTCAAGGATTGCTTTTTATTGTCTGTCAATATTTGTCGGTATTTTTGTGCTTAAAATCTGCGAGAAGTGACTGGTGCAACATTTGTATATTTTTTTATAATTGAAAACAAATTTTAGAATTTAGTTATGACGGCGCTTGAATCATACGTGCATATTTTGGTTGAAGTAAATAGCTTTTGTAGTATCGTTTGAGGTTCTTCCAGCCGTCTGTATGTGATCGTCAATTGCGGAGTGTTAAACTTCATCAAAATTTCACTGGTTTGCTCAACACCTGATGAATAATTAAGGTGGTTTAATTTGGGTGAAGGAAATTCGGTTGGTAGTATTGTTAAAAGACAAGCTAACAGTAAAAAAGGAGGGGGGTTCAATTAAATTATTGAAGGTGTTCACTCGCTTTTTCCTTTAGTTTTTTTCTTTTGCAAGTAATTGGAAAGAAGTAATTAACCGTTTGATATAGTTCAGTTTAGAAGAAACCATTGAGGATAAGTATGAAGAGTTTGCTGAAGGTATCAAATAACGGATTTTTGTTTTTAATTTAGAGCTGCGTTGTTGCAGTGCTATAGCTGAAATGTTTTTTTTTTCTAGTTATTTGATGAAGCTTAGCTTTTTTTTCCACTTGTCGTCATTAATCCATTTGAGTTTGTTACGCACTAGTGCAATGTCAGTATTGAAAATGATGTATTAGCGCACAGGGCACAGATTAAGCATTAAAGTTCTCTTAAC